GAGGGAAAGGAGGAGCCCTGTGGAAATAACTCCGACCTTCCCCAGCCTTGAGCATCCCTGGCAGCTCAGCTTTCCATGGAATTCACTCCTGCTCTTCCCCCTCGTGCAGGACAAGGCCAGCAGAAGAACATCCTGGATTTCTTCGGGAAATCCCAGAAGCAACAAGTCGGTCCTGGTGGGATCAAAGAGGAGCCGCGGGATCCCTTTTTCCCTGGAGCTGACGATTCCTTCAGCAGCCACACGGACCTCAGCAGCGACTCCTCAGCTCTCCTGGAGGATGAGGACATCGTGCCAGCTCCCAGAAGAAAATCCAGGAAGCGGCCCCTCGCCACCACAGCCTCGGGAATTCTCAACCCGGAGCAGGATTTGTGGGGGGAGCCCGAGGAGAAGCCGCCGGTTCCTCCGGAGCTTGACCAGGTCAAGCAGGAACCGGATGAGGTGGAAGTGGAGCCAGTCCCTGATCCACACTACGGACTCCTGGGCACTCGGAACTGGGAAGAGCCTCAGGGAAATCTGGATGAGCTGCCTGTGGAAGTGCTCAGGCACATCTTTGCCTTCCTTCCCGTGGCTGATCTGTACCAGAACCTGAGCCTGGTGTGTCGCTGCTGGAGGGAGATAGTCAGGGATCCACTGGTAAGGAATTCCCTGGGGATTAATTCCAGCCTGTCCCTTCTCCTCCTGCTCTGTCCTGTCTCATTGTGGCTCCTCCCAGCCATCCATGCTCTGCCTGTCTCTCTCTGTTCCTTTAAATCCCTTTTTTACTCCTTTTTTTTATTCTGTCCTCTGTCATTTTTTGGTCTCCTGGACCATCTTCAGGTACCAGTCTCAACACCCCTCGTTGCATTCTTTCCCTACATGGAAAAAGAGCATCCTGCAAGGCTCCACAAAATCCCCCTCCACTCTTTTCCGTGCAGCCTTGCAGGGAATTCCTGCTGGAAGACCAGGATGTGTCTTCTCATGGTTGGTGTTAAGTCACTCTCCTCCAGCCTCTGCGGTGGCTCCTGTGGCCAAATGGGTTTAGAGGAAAGGCCTTGAACTCTGTTTTTATGGAGTTTGGTTCATCTGAAGTCCGGATAAAGTTGGGAACCCGTTTTGGCTGGAGGAAGGATCCCTGAATCCCAGTTAAAGGTGTCTCCAAGGCAGCTCTCCCCTCACTGTTCACCCTGGAATTGGACCAAGAGGCTTCTCAGCCCGACTTGGGAGTGGTGGGGACTGATCTCAGCCCAAATTCTTGTGGAGATCCGAGTTCTCCTTCGTGCCATTCCCGTAAATTTGGATGGGAAAGGCCGGACACAAGGCAGGAGGCGTCCTGCTCTCTCCTTCATCAGTCATCAGTGTTGTCAGAGACTGAACCAGTTAATGATTTCCACGTTCTGAGAGCACCAGAAGAGCTGAGAAGAGGCAGCTGCTCCCCCAGCAAAGCCCAGCTCTCCCTGGGTGCTGCTGAAGGACCTTTGGGTCAGTGGGTGCCACTATCCAGCTCTCCGTGGTGCAGAGCCCTTCCTGAGGCTGCCAGCTGGATTTCCAGAGAAGGGAAGAGCCTGGGAAGAGGCAGGTCCTGCCAGGCAGGAAAATCCTTTTTCTTATGCCAGTGTCCTCATCTGACCTGGACTGTGGAGCTCGGATGTTGGAGCAGGGTTGGTGCTGGCACAGCAGGCAGCTGCAGCTGTCCTTGGAGATGGGACACCAGCCAAGGGTCCTGCCCTTTGGCCACAAGAAGCCCCTGCAGCTGCAGGCTGGGCCAGAGGGGCTGGAGAGCAGCCAGGCAGGAAGGGAGCTGGGAGTTGGACTGGGCAGGGAGCTGAAGAGGAACCCCAGTGTGGCCAGGGGGGCAAGAGGGCCAATGGCTGCTGGGCTGGCTGAGGAACAGTGTGGCAGCAGGAGCAGGGCAGGGCTTGTGCCCCTGAGCTGGGCACTGGGGAGGCCACCCCTGGAGTGCTGTGTCCAACTCTGGGCCCTGAGCTCAGGAAGGCCCTGGAGGGGCTGGAGCAGGGGCAGAGAAGAGCAACGAGGCTGGGGAAGGGACTGGAATGCCCTGGACATCCCCAGGGGAGGGAGTTTTACAATCCCAGAATCATAGAATCAGCCATGTTGGAAAAACCCTCAGATCATCCAGTCCAACCCTTGATCCAACCCCGCCGTGGTTCCCAGCCCATAGCACTGATGCCACATCCAATCTCACCTTAAACACCTCCAGGGACTGTGACTCCACCCCCTCCCTGGGCAGCCCATTCCAATGGCTGAGCACTCTCCATGGAAAAAATTCCTTCCTGATGTCCAAGCTGACCCTGCCCTGGCACAGCTTGAGGCCGTGCCCTCTTGTCCTACTGCTGGTTCCCTGGAGCAGAGCCCGACCCCCCCTGGCTCCCCCCTCCTGTCAGGGAGTTGCAGAGAGTGAGGAGGTCTCCCCTGAGCCTCCTCCTCTCCAGGCTGAGCCCCCCCAGCTCCCTCAGCCTCTCCTCACAGCACTTGTGCTCCAGTCCCTTCCCCAGCCTCGCTGCTCTTCTCTGCCCCTGCTCCAGCCCCTCCAGGGCCTTCCTGAGCTCAGGGCCCAGAGCTGGACACAGCACTCCAGGGGTGGCCTCCCCAGCGCCCAGCCCAGGGGCACAAGCCCTGCCCTGCTCCTGCTGCCACACTCTTCCTCAGCCAGCCCAGCAGCCATTGGCCCTCTTGCCCCCCTGGCCACACTCGCGCTCCTCTTCAACTTCGCTCCCCAGCACAGCCTCAAATGCAGTGTCCTCCCTGTTTTTCCTGGAGAAATCCCAACAGCAGCTGTGGGAGGACGGGACTTCATGGTCACAGGGATTTTAAACACTCAGACCCTGCTCGGGGCTGATCTGGGCTGAAAAGATCCCCATTTATTTCATGCTTTGATATTTCTAACTGAACTAGCATCACCCTGTTCCCATCATTCTAGGAAAAACCATCTTTTTATGGACTGATTTCCAGACTTTGAGCCTTTCTTTCCTAAAGTTTCCTCTTTCCTTCCCAATCTCCTGTCAGGTATCTGTCCCCACCGAGCTACTTTTTGAACTCCAGGTCTTTGGAAATCACCTTTTTTGGGGCTTATTTGCCACGAGAAACCTCTTTGGCAGTGCTGTGAGGTGAAAGCCAGTGGTTTGTGCTTCCCATTCCAGTTCATTCCCTGGAAAAAGCTGTACCACCAGTACCTGATGAGGGAGGACTCGGCCCTGCGCAGAGTTGAGCAGATCCTGCGGGATTTCTCCATCACAAAGGAGCAGGAAGGATGTGTCTTGGGGCTGATCACGTGAGTCCCATTCCCCTGGAGATCCCCAGGCCTTCCCTGCTTTGGGGCTTCTTCCATTTTATCCCAGGAATTACCAGGAGAGGGATGGATTTGTCTCCCCAAACGTGCAGGAAAATGAGGGAGGGGAAATGATTTCAGTGGTAAAAATCACTGGGAGGGTTCTGGAAAATGGGGGGGGAAAAACTTTCCCTTGCTTTCCTTGTTCTGTTTGGAGCGTGTGATCGTGGAATCATGGAGTCATTTAGGTGGGAAAAAACCTGTAGGATCATGGAGTCCAAGCTTTCCCAGCAGTGCCAAGGCCACCACTGACCCGTGTCCCCAAGTGCCACATCCACAGGGATTTTAAATCCCTCCAGGGGTGGGGACTCCAACACCTCCCTGGGCAGCCCCTTCCAAGGCCTGACCACCCTTTCCGTGGAGAAATTCCTGCACAGTTCTTGGCAAGCCCGAGACAAGCCCTTGATAAAACCCAAGTGCTCTACTCAGATCCCTGTGGTCCAGAGGTCAATTTTGTGTGGCAAATAAGAACCAAACTGGGTTAGGAACGGGGTGGATCTGTCTTCTGGAATCATGGAATGGTGTGGGTTGGAAGGAGCCTTGAAGATCATCCACTTCCAACCCAGGGACACCTTCCACTGGAAGGAGACCTGGAGAGAAGACAGAAGGAGTTTCCAGATGGAAGTGTTTCAGAACTGG